TGTGTGTGTGTGTGTGTGTGTGTGTGTGTGTGTGTGTGTGTGTGTGTGTGTGTTTAAACTATAGAAAAACCAACAAAGTGCTATTATGTACAGTAACTTTATGTGGCATTTTTTCTCCTCCTTTATTGTAAATCTGTATTAGAACCAGAACAGCATTAAATGAGCCTTTTATACTTTAAATATTCAAGAGTTTTATATTCAAAATTTCTTCCACTGCTGTCAAACTGGAGTGCCTGAAGGCAAGGTAAGATCAAGTTAGGTTCTCAAAGGTAGAATTAAATTTTATCAAGGCATCCGTCATAATATGCATGTTGCTTAAAATGCAAATAAAAAAGGCATAGAAATTCAAAGGCTACAGCATTTTCAGGTAGCATGCAAAGTCCAGGGGACCATTTCTATGGAATAGATTCATTTAATTTACATTTCTATCATTTTAATGAAAACACAGAACAAACAAGCAATCACAGATACATTTTAAACCCTCGTTTTTTCATTTGAATTTCTTCTTTTACACAATTACAGAGTAAGGGGGAAGAAAGAAAAGAGGAAAGAGGGAGAAAAGAGAAGGCATATTAGTAAGTCATTACCTCAGCCATTTTTGAAAGCTCAGTCCAATCATTCTTATTATAGCTGCACATGATGCTGGCAATGACAATCTGAAAAGATAAGTATGGAATTCAGTTGTCTGGATAATAAACTAAAGTTAGGGAAAATCTGTTTGAAAATCTTCTGTCTCTATTGTTTAACTACAATTGCAATTTTCTGCTCTGCGTATCTATTGAAGAACAAGTCCTATTAAATTCAATTGATCTTAGTTTCAGGTAAATGTATAAAATGGATTACATCAAATCTCTTTTAATATGCATTTCTAAAATAATTTGAAGAAAGTACATGGAAGATACATGAGAAACTGTCAGGGATATACGGTAATTGAGAATTGAATGGACAATATACTCTTAAACTGAATACAGGTATTTTGAAATCTACATTAAAAGAAATTGACAAATGGAAAACTTTAAATGTCTTTCAGTCCTACTGATTAAAACGTCATCCCATTCATAGAAGCCTCGTGGGTACAATGTCCATCTCAGGTACTGGATGTACGGAATAGCTATTAGATATAATGGATAGCTGTGATATGAGTGTGTCAAATAACTGTGAACAAATATGAGATTCCTAGAAGAATGTAGTAACCCTAACATGAAAGAAATATATTGACAACAATATATCCAAAGACAGTGCCGTGACTTGACAGATAATAAGATTAACTCTGATAGAAAGCAGCTGCTCTACCAGTAGCAACTACAAGTGGAAGGATGTAGGCTAGAACAGCTGTGGAAATGATAAAATGCGTCCATAGAAAAAAATAAACAGGGATGCAGAAGACAATGGATAATCATTGCACTGTAGTTTCTCACGAAAAGTCACTAGTGAGTAAAAACAATTATCACCATAACAGAAAAACTAAAGAATTGATTGTCTCCAAGCTTTGAGAGACAATTTTAAATGAGAAAGCATATCCTGATAGGTGAAGTCTCTGCAATCCAGAGTCATTTTTTTGGGTGTATACAGCTGTGCAATTTCCAAACTGATATTTAGAGGTTTTGCATGTAAAGGTTTTGCATACAAAATCTTGGGTTCAAAAGTTTCCTTCCTTCAGACAGTGAATAGCTATTTGCCCCCAATAGGTAACATTTGTGTGTATGATTTTTTTGCAATGTTTATTTGTAATATTAATAGACTCCCCAAATCAACTGATTCTCTGGATGTTATATAACAAAGAAAGAGGACATAGGGCTACTCATGGCCCAGGTTCAAGTTTTTTTACACATTCCTGTTGTGGCCCAGCAGGAGACATTGGAGCTGCCATCAGACTGCGACAGCGAAGGGCCCTATGAGTCGGCTCTGGAGGATGTGGAGGACCCTGGACAGGGTTCCGACTCTGAGCAGGGTGCAGAGAGGCTGGTTGGCCACCAGGATGCACCTGAGCCTTGGACCAGTGGGGAGGCGACAAGGGAGAGTGAGCTGGAATCCAGTAGTGAGTTGTTCCTGGATGCACGCCATCGAAGAGCTAATAGGCGTCAGGAACAATTATGCAATTACAGGAGGTGATTGCACTCATCTGGTGGTCATTAGGCTCCTTTCCAAACTATAAAAAGCTACTTGTGCACACACCCCTCTTTGCAGAAATCAACGCAGGGTTGAATGTCGGAGGACATTACTGTGAGCTTGGCAGGCTGGATTGCTGCAAAGCCTTATCTGTGTTTATTGCTGCCCAAGCATGTCTTTGCCGGTTTGTTGCCAAGGACCTGTCAATTAAATGCCGTAACTTATCTCTGGCTCGGAGTGTGTGTTGGTGTGGGACGAGGGGGTCAGAACAGTAAAGTATATAGCTTGTGTGGCAATGGCAATTCAGAATAATCAGCAAAC